CCCGGGGCGTCGCAGACGGACCCGGGAGGCTGGCAACAGAAAGAAGCCGCCTGGGTGCGGCAGACGGCACGGCCCTTGCTTTGGCAGCTTTGAGGAGCCACGCAGGGCTCCCGAGCTGCGGCGGAGGTCGGGGCGGGGGCGGAACTCGCGCAGGCTCCGGTCGCGTTCTGGCAGCTGCCCCAGCTCTGCTTCCTCTGGGCTGCCGTCGTCGGGAGAATTCTGACAGGAAAGAAAGGGTGCTTGTTATTATTATTTTGGAGATAGGGCCTTTGGGGTCTTTTGTGCGCTTTTTGTTTTTTAAGGCTAGAAGCTTTTTCGCCGGCAGGCACCAGCATTTTTATCACCAGCGGGATTTGGTTTTCAATAGTATTTAGTCCTCGGCCATCCGCGACCCCCACCCACAGTGCCTAGCCCCCCTACGATTCTATGGGAAAATGACCAAGCAAATCAGTGCTCAGCCCTCCTAAGCCGAGCGTTTGTGTATGAGAAGCGTTAAAATATTGACCTCGGAAAATATAGCCAATGGAAGTCAAGCTCAATTTACTCTTTTTAAAAAGGGAAAGTAATCTCAGGAAAAAAATATTATTCTTAAGTTATTTCTACTAATTCTCCCACACCATTAACACTCCCTCTGTAGTTCTCTTCTTGATGTGTAGTCCCCCCTTTTCAATTTCAAAACGTTCAGTGAAACAAAATTGTGATTTTACCAAAGCTAATGTAAAACATCAAAATAATAGGCATTTCCTCCCTAATTCAGTTGCTTCATTGACCTGTGGTGTGAGGGTGAAAGACTTGTTACTCAATCTGCTGATAAAGTAATGTTCTTCGTTTCTTTCAGTAGGAAATCTACCTTAATTTATTTTTAATCAATCATAGTTTTTAGCTCTAGGTCAAATTAAGCATTGCTAGAAATAGAAAACTCGGATTTTTTGCCTCACACTGGAAATGCTGCAGATGAACCAATTTTCTTTATAAAAAGCATTGGACAGCATGTGAATAGTCCAACAGCTTTCTGATGTGAGTCAAAAGTTAAGAAAATGTTACATTATTTGAAAAACGACTATTCTATTTCCATTTTATTATATACAAGAAATATTTAGATATAAAATCCACTGTATAAATCAAGATAGGAAGTAAGTTCACAAGAATTATTTCAAAGACAAACACTAGACAAAATTCAGGTATTTCATTAAATGCTTTTGCGGTGACTTTTCTTGGCTCCGGTATTTTAAGCCAGTCATGTGAATTAAATTTATTTTTAAGCATAGGGCTTAAAATAAATCTGGCAGTTGCCCTAAAATTTCCTAAACCCTGCTTGTCCTTTTCTATTACCATTTTTAGGTATTCTTAGGAATTTTGTTGTTTTGCAGAGACTGTGAACATGATGTTGCTTTCTATTTGGACATATATGATAAAGTTCAAGTAGTTAATATATGAGTGGCACTGATAAATGTAAGTGGGACTGAAACCAATCTGGCAAAGCTACTAGAAATATATGTGGGGGTCTATATATTTTATTTATCTATAAGGTTAATCTGATTATTGTAACCCCTACTAGTTGTCTTTTTTTTTTTTTTTTTAATATATCTGTGTTGATTTCAGAGAGAGGAAGGGAGAGGGGGAGAGAGCAATAGAAACATCAATAATGAGAGAGTCATTGATCAGCTGCCTCCTGCACGCCCCCGACTGGGGATGGAGTCCATAACCCCGGCATGCGCCCTGACCGGAAATCGAACCCCGATCACCTGGATCCTAGGTTGATGCTCAATTGCTGAGCCACGCCTGGCCGGGCGACTAGTTGTCTTATACCATAAGATAGATGGACTCTATATCAGTGTTTTATAATTTTTAAACAACGTCCTCAGCTGTAATAGGATAGAATCGTATGACATTAAAGTTCCTTCCGGCTTTAAAATTCTATTGTCTAATTGTCACTAATTTCTTCAGAAGCATTATGGATATTGAGATTATCCTTAAAGTATATATTAAGATCCTAAGTCAATTGCAAAATACTGATATTATGTATAAATATAATAAAAATATAATATTATACATACTGAGTGCTTATGTGCTGGGCACTAATCCATGTACTTTATACATAGTATTTATTAAAACTTCAAAAGAACTCTGCTATGATTATACCTACATCATAGATGGGGAAACTGAAGTGCAGCAAGGTTGGATTTATTAGGTTAAAGGTTTTTTGTTCAAGGTTATGACAACCCAGATTGGAATGGAGGCAATATGATTCCAGAGTCCGCACTTGTAACTACTGAGTATGCTAACACTATCCAATCCTAATACAATAAGAAGTATTTCATAATTGTACTATTTACATTAGCACAGATTTAAATGATTCCATGTAAAAGAGGGACTTATAAAATTTGCAGTGTGATCAGTATGATTACAGTCCCTAGGGAAAGATGTGAAATGATTTTAGCCTGGTTCGGAAAAAAAGGACCTTGACAATGTTCAGCAACAGTAGCTTGACTAGAGGTTCCCAAATACTAGGTCCAAGAATCAGTGGCAGTTATTGATGCTTTCCTTACCTGCACCAAAATGAGAAGAATAAAGACACAATACTATATGTTTTCATAAAGTAAGCAATTCTAATTCAGTCTGACATTCTCTTTATTACTTTTTAAAAAATTTAATGTACTTTCCTTTAAGAAACAAGAGTAACAGTAAATTATACAGTTTTTATTATTCTTACTACAAATTTAAAAATTACAAAGTTGACAACTATATGCAAATATATAAATTAAATTAGTCATACCTTAATTTTTCTGGTTTTTGGAATTAAAACATCTGGAAATGTTTGATTTAGATGAGATTCATTCTAGGACCTAATGAAGAGACTGCAGTGCTGAAAGAATTTGAATGAGGCAAATTTGGGAAAGATCATGTTAAAAATCAGAATGATTTGAGTGTGGACTTGTGTATAGGGAAAGACAATTAAGTTGAGCATTCCTTTGCTTTTGGTTATTTGGTAGGAAATAGAGTCAGTTTAATGTTCATGGAATTTTTTTCATAAACATTGATGTGGTAGCTAGCCTCCAAAGATGGCCCCCAATGAACCATGTCTCCCAGTATGCATGCCCTGTGGAATTCCTTCCACTGAATCTGGGCTGGGGCCTAATGACCTGCTTCAGCCAATAGAATGCAGCAAAATGGCACTTTGCCTGTGACAGGCCTAAACTTTGAGAGTTGGCCTGGCAACTAATAGTTCAGTGCTCTGGGAAGTCCAACTAAACTGAGATCATCCTGGTGTGAGGAAACCCAAGCTAAGTAACCACATGAAGAGATCACATGGATGACAACTGAGGAATCCAGCAGACCTTAAAAACAGAGACCCCAGATTTATGACCCAAGTTGTGGCATTCCAGCAGCCCCTGGCCATTTGAAACACCCCAGATGACACCATGTAGAGAAGAAACAAGCTAATTTCTCCAAGCACTGCCCACACAGCAAACTCGTGAACAAATAATAAAATTGTTTCTCCTTTGAGCCAGTAAGTTTTGGGGTAGTTGCTCAGCAATAGATAACCAAAGCAGTTGGATTTCATGAAAAGAATTATTGATAGATGATGATGATAGATAGATAGATGATAGATAGATAGATGATAGATGATAGATAGATAGATAGATAGATAGATAGATAGATAGATAGATAGATAGATAGATAGATGATAGATAGGTAGATGATAGATAATAGATGATAGATAGATGATAGATGATAGATTAGATAGATGATAGATTTATAGATGATTGATGATGATGATAGATGATGATAGATGATTGATAGATAGATAGATGATAGATGATAGATAGATAGAT